GGATTTGGTTGGCTAAACCAGTTAGGATAGGTCCATCCGGTATCGATTTGCCTACCAATCTTCAATCTCTCAAGAGAAGCATAAGCATATGGAATACTTGTGATTGTGAAAGCATCTAGGACCAAAGGTGGTTCTTTCAGCCATCTAGAGGAGAAGATAAGAGCTTCACGATCCAACCCATTGAGGAGGTCTTCAGATGCAATTTTTTTATCAACGATAGCGGGCGCAATTGATGTCTTGTTCGTAACATTGGGAATGAATAGTTCCGGTTGGACATTTGGCTCCAGCTGGCCCTCAATTTTGCCCTCATCATCATCATATGCGGGCTGATCAATATCAAGAACTCCATCGAGCATGTCGTCATCATACACGTCGTACACCGGCTCATCGTAGAGAGGCAAGAACGACGAATTCAGCAATGGATCTTCAAATTCTTCAAAGCCGAACTCGACTGAGGGTGAGGTGGAAGATATCTGATCAGCTGAAATGTCCTCGTCGTCGTCGTCGTCGATTTGTAAGGATTTAGCTGGAATGAATGATCTTGAAGCTGTCATGGGAGCGTACTTGTCACATGATCGAAAGCCATTAACGTCTTGGGGAGTGCTCCTGTATGTCAGTCGTTCAAGTCTTGACAATCGCCGTTTGAGTCGAATAATTTCTTGTTGAAGATCTTTACTGTCAGCTTCTTGAAGTGTTCCCTGCAATGTCCATCGAGAAAGAAACATGCTCTGCTTTTCTTTGGGTGGACAATATGAGCGGAGAAATTCTGTTGTTTCTCTTTGCTTCATTGTCATTTCTTCCAATACAAAGGCCACCTTCTTTTAGAAGCTTTTGGTATTCTGACGCCGTCCAGTCCTGTGATCAGAAGTCTCCACCAACTGAGACAGTTTGTTGATCCAAGAACAAAGTAGAGAGACCACCAATTGAAAAGAATCAAGGTACAGGCGTGAGAGAACACCGTCCAAGGCTTGCGATCAGAAATCTCCACGGGCGGAGACGGTTGGCTGCCGGGAACAAGAATCTTGGCTACGTCCGCGACTCCTGCCGCGCCTCCCAGCTCAGCACTCGGTCCCCTCGCTCAACCAGCGAACCCGGCCAAGAACTCCTCCGATCGCGACACCAGGCAGCGTGGCCTCCGGCCAAGATCTCCTCCGATCCCCGCAAGCCGTCCACGTCAAACAGCCAAAGCCGTCCGACCCTCACACGAGCAATCTTCCTCACGAACACTGCGCCTCCGGCTTCAAGCGCCTGGACTAGCTTCTCGCGCACACTTCCGCCTGCAGACTTGTGCAATCGCTCAACAAGCCTTGCTCCGCCTTCGCTCGCTCTTAGCCGGCAATGCGATTCTGCTTCCGGTCAAGGATGTCACCGGAAGCCTCCTTTTTCTTGACCTATTATTGGGCAGAGGCGTGAAACCAAGAAACCACCACTTGAATAAATTCAAGATACAGTAAGAGAGAAATCTCTCTCAAAATTTCATGCCAAATTTCTCTCCGGCATCAATTGCTCCGTCGTTTTCTTGAACGGCCTCCGACGTGGTTTCTTCCGCCAGGTTTTTCTCTTCACCACCTGATGACTTGTCAGGATACAGAGCAAGAAGAACCCGTTGGCTCTGATACCAAATGACACCGGCCAAGTAGGGGTCTCGACGAATCCACGTCGAAATATAACATAAGTTGAAAAAAATTCTTCTATTTTAACTATTGTAAAAAATAGACTAAATAATACAATTAGAGATCAATTGATAAATAATATTTTAATTACTTATATTAAAAAATTAATATTTGATTGTATTGATAATGAAGTAATCATAATTTGTAAGTTTTTTTAATCTTATTTTTTATCTTTTTAAAATAAAAAAAATATCTGAATTTTTTTTTTTTAAGGGAGTGCGAAGGAGAGCCTGAGGCAGCTGAGTTGTTATTCAACTCGGCTCGTCTCAAGGAGTTGAACATGAGCTATTCTCCAATATTAATCCTATTTTGGAGCTTTATATAGTTTATTAAATATCCATAAACTTAAATAGAGAGAGAGAGAGAGAGAGAGAGATTATTGAGCTACTGTCCAGTCAATACAGTTAAGCACAACAATCAATCGAAATGGCTAAGCAAGTTCTACATAATGCAACTTTGCTGTAAGAAGAAGTGGCGACTTCTTGTGAATTGTTATCCCTCGCAATTCACTCATATCCAAAGCTTCATCTCTCATTTCTTTTGGAACCTCCCAGTCAAAATGATGCAACAAGTTTGCGAGGGCGCATTCTATAGTAGCAATTGCGAAGCCAATCCCTGGGCAAGCTCTTCGCCCAGCTCCAAATGGTGTAAACTGGAAGTCTTGTCCTTTAAACTCAACATTACAATCTATGAACCTCTCAGGCCAAAATTCTTCTGGCCTATCCCAGTAATTGGGATCTCTCGCAATTGCCCATGCATTGATTATGATTCTTGTTCCAGCAGGAATGCCATAGCCTTGCAACAGAGTATTTTCTGTTGCAACCCTGGGAACAAGTAGAGCAACTGGAACATGAAATCTCAGTGTCTCTTTGATTATTGCCTTTAGGTAAGTCAATCTGTCTATGTCTTCTTCTTCAACAAACTCCTTAGATCCAACAACATCTCTTATCTCTTTTTGAACGTCTTGCATGCATGTTGGATGATGTATGAGCTCTGCCATGGCCCATTCTAAAACGGTGAATGTTGTGTCTGTGCCCCCAGCAAACATATCCTGCCATCATCAATTAAAAATTAAAAAAAAGAGAGAGCCTTTATCTACATGAGGATGTTAAGAAACATATTCTTATTTAAAATTAATAATAGAAGTCATCTTTATTTTTTTTTGGCGGGTTATGCCAATTCAAGTAAACTCACACACACATTACATATACAAGACTCGAAATCAAGACCTCTTAGTTGGTAGTCTAAGCTCTCAACCAATAGGCCAATATGAGCTGTGTATCTCTAATATTTTTTAACTAATTCTTGTTAGATCTATCTCTACCTTACTTAACATAGGCCAGATCTAATAGATCTACTTTCTAAACCGGGTCATCAGAAGCCAATGTTTATGTGACAAAACCATCTAAGATGACCTCTTTTATCTTATCTCTCATTGATCATTATTATTTCAACAAAAACTATAAATCTATTAATAAAATTTCATGAAGTCAAGAACTATCAAGATCTTGTTAACAAAAATATCAATATGTTAATAAAAATTATTTACCCAATTGCTAACAAAAAAATAATTATTATGATTTGATGACATGATTATTTTTGGTGATTCAGACTTGGTATTTACTATTGAGATTTAGTACACGATATTATTGGGATTCTTATTAGACGACCGAGTTCCCATTGAATGGGGGCCTATTGAGAGTTGATATAAGCCTACGAGTATAAGTGTTGAGTAATTACCAGAATTACAGCTTTGATATGCTCTTTCTGGAGGGGGATGGCAGCATCGTTGCCTTCATGTTGATCTTTAACGGATAACAACACATCCACTAGATCTAAAACTTCTTCGTCAGCGCCAATAGTTTTTGATCTCTTTCTGTGAAGACGCTCCTCAAGAATTTGCTCTAAAAGCTCATCCAATTCCTTAGAATTTCTCCTCACTCTTGCATTCAACCCAGTAAGCACATCAATCCAACCAAGCCAAGGAACAAAATCAGCAACTGGAAAGCACCCCAACAATTTAGTAAACTCTTCCAACATCTCTCCGAATTTCGTCTCCCCTGAATACTTCCTCCCCAACGCCACCCTGCATAAGATATCATTAGTGAGAACAACCAACCTCTTGCTCAAGTTCACCGCCTCCGCCGCCACCGAAGCAGCGCGGATATCTGCAATGAGAAGAGCCACCTCCTCCTCCCGCACACTCTTGTATGATTGTACGCACTTGCTACTCAGCAGGTGGACGACGCATATCTTCTTTATCATCCTCCAGTAGTCACTGTAAGGAGAGAATGCAACATCGGTGCTGTTGTAGAGGAGATGATTGGCTAAAGAGGATGGCGGACGACTTGCAAAGATGAGGTCTTGGGCCTTCATGACCTGCTCCGCGATCTCCGCGGAGGAAACGACGACGGTGGGGGCGGTGACACCCAGTTGGAGAAGGATGAGGGGGCCATATTTTTTGGAAAGGGAGTTGAGGGAACGGTGGGGAAGTGAGCCGAGTTGGTGGAGGTTTCCTAATAGTGGGAGGCCTGGTGGGCGTGGCGGCAGCCTTGTGGGGGAAGAGGCTTTACGCCGGTGGAGGAAGAAGAAGATGATTGTCAGCAAGGTTAAGAGGAAGATTATTGTTGCCATGTTTAGGGATGCTTAATTGGAGTGTGAAATAGTTTTTGTTTGTGCCTTCGTCTTTGAAAGAGAAGAGCGGTAAAAGTAATCTTAGGGGCCGTTATATATATAATGAGTTTATTTAATGAATAAACTAATATGAAAACTAATTAATTATTTAAAATCACATTTATTTCAAATAAATTTAAGAATTTTAAAATTCTAAGCAATTTTTTTATGGGTAGAAAAGATCTAATTCACTAAGGAATCTTGATCAGTGTCATTAGTGAGACGAGCTAGCCGACTTACAGCTAGCTCAAATTTTACTTGCTAGTGAGTTTGCAAATTAAGCTTATCAAGTCAAATGCCTGAGCTTAGATTATAGTTCAAGTATTAAACCAGTTCAAGCTCAAACTTATTGAAGCTAGACTAGTCGGCTCACAAGCTAGCTCGATTAAAGTAAATTTTAAATCTAAATATTGTCTCTTATTTTAGGTTAACCTGACTTCCCCCTACTGCCAAAAGTCTCACAAACTCATTTTCTTCTTTAAACAATGATTATGTCGTTTATGCCTTTATTTGAAAATAAATTCAAAATTAATAAGGCATTATCTCGAGCATCTAGAAAATTCTATACATGGATTATTATGGAAATCTCTAGATGTTTAATTAATATGTTAGGTGGTAAGAAGTAGTTAGAATTTGTAATAAGCATCTGTTGGGACTAAACAAATCGAAACAAACACAATAAACAATAGTAGACAGATCACGGAGAAAGAAAAAAAAAGTGAAAAGAAGAAAAAAGAAAAAAAAAATAGTAGACAGATCACAAATATTTACATTAAAATTTTAAAAATGGGAAAAATCATAGAATCACATCATATAAAAAATTCACCATCAAATTAGGAGAAATTGTACGGATCGTCCCCTTACTCTATTTTGCAGCCTTCACGCTCTTTCATACACGAGAGTATAACCACCATATAGTTACAACTCACACAATACAAAAAATAAAAATAAAAAGACTTAGTGGGTCAACAACGCCTTGTCGTTGCACCAAAAAAAAGGGTTGAGCCCCCGAACCCTTAAGGCCTTCTCCAGCCGTTCTGCAAACAGGCGAATGGAGAGCCTCAGACGTGCCAACTGAACTCCATTTTTGCCGGCATTTAGTCGCTGATGAATAGTGCGACGCCAATATTGGCGTCGCACTGTTCACTTTCGTCATTTCTTTCTCTCTACCGAACTCCGTCCGAGAAAGGCACGAAAGAAACGACGATGATTTTGGGGCAAAATGACGTTCCACTGGAGATGAATCACGGCACTTTTTTATTTTATTGCATTTTGCAGTGAAAAATGAGAGTTTCGATTGGAGATTCCCTAAGTAGGTTGCGTGTAGCTCCCTACAAACCCCCTTAACAAGCTTCACATTGAGCTCAATTAATAGAATTGAGATCCGAGTCAACAATATAACTCAATTGATAGACCCAACCAAACTCCGCAAAGAACTAACACCATCAAGACTTCCTCCATATACTATTATAATAAAGAAGGCTAACAAATGCGATGTCTTGAAGCTACTTCAAATTATTATACCTACAATATTTCTAGGCAAGGGAATGCTTTTGCAGATAAAATTTACTACTAACTGTAGAACACTTGAAATTTCGTGATTCATGTTTTTTAAATGGCTAATTAATCTAGTTAAAATGGATACACTTATAGGTTCCAAAAAAAAAAAAACCTAGTTAAAATGGACTTTTCCTAGCTACTTTAGTCATAGTTGATCAATTGATATATATCATTCAATGCATCTAAGGATGGAAAGCTCCTCTATACTGCTACTGACGTAAGATTACAGGATTCAAAATGTCTGGCTTTGGTGTGGGGCTAAATAGGTAATGCTATTGGTTTTTTTTTTTTACAATAAAGGTGATGATGGTAGTGAAATACTCTATGGACTGTAGTAACCACAAATTATAATATTGATGATTTTTGCCCTATTTCTCTTAATCTCGATCCACCTTATATTAATGATTATCAATTAGATTATACTTATGGGGTCATAGTCTCAGTTGGAGTCAGAAATCCAATAAATAATAAGCAGTATTATTGAAATTTTGAAAGAAAAATTTTTTGGGGACTTTTGAGTCAATTAAGACAAAATCCTACATACAACGCATATGAAAGCTTTATTGTCGGCCAGAATATACGTGACAATAGAGTAAGGGAATAAAACATCTTAGCAATATACATATATCTGGCACACGAGCTGATAGCTTAGATTATATGGAAAGCTCAATAAGAGAAAAATCATGGGGTCACACCCAGATAAGAAAATTATATTAAGTTTGAATGAATTACAAATCTTGATTCGCTCTTTTACTTGGAGATGATGGAATTACAATAGGTTGTAGAGTTCGACAGAAGACTGGTGATGATCGACAAACGAAAGTTCGTCGATGTTTAGGAAGAACTCCAGCGGTGATCGACGAACAGATAGAATTCTGGTGATGGTCTACAAGCGGCCGGTAGAAGTCTAACGGTGGTAGTGAAGAACTTCGGTAATAGTCGACGAACGAGCAGAAGTTTGGCGATGGTCGATGAACGGGAGAAAGTCTAACTACGGTGGTAATAAAAAAACGGGAGGAAGTCCGGCGGTGGTCGACAAATGAGCGGAGGTCTGACAGCAGTTAGGAAGAACTCCGGTTGTGGTCGACGAACGGGCGGAAGTTCGGCGGTGATCGACGAACGAGTGGAGGTCCAGCGGTGGTCGACGATAAGTAAACACCAGCAATCTCTTCCTTTCTCCTCCCTTCTTTTTCACCTTCTTCTTCCCCTTTCATGAGAAGAATGGGGACAATTTATAGTATTTTTAGAGTGACATGGCCTGTGAATTAGGGTAAGATCAAGGACAAGATGGGAGTGATTTGAATTGACGGCTGATATTGATCCCTTTGATTGTGGATCATTTATTAATCATTTGAATGTCCTAATGATATCAGAATTTCTCGATCTTGGGCTCGTTGGATTCGTCTCGTTGAGCTGCTCGATTTGAATATAAGCATGTCACCTCTGAAATTCATTTGGTAATCCAAATTATGTTTTGAACTTTCCAAATATGCTTTGGACCCTTGATTTGGGCTCATTTCAGCTTGAATTTGACCGATTTTAGTGTCGTTGGGTCCGTATTTACAAGACATTCAGTTCGACTATAAGTTTGCTGAAATCAGAGATCAGATGGTCCCAATTTAATTTTTGAAGTCTCAAACTCATATTTATATCGATATTCATGCTTGATTGAGACTATTTTTTTGTGACACATCAGTTGCGCTCTCTTCGGACGTCGAAGCTTGCAAAGTTCGAAAATATATATTTATACCTTTCAGAGCTGCTTGTGATTTATAATTATTATTATGAGTCTTAACTTTGCCCTGAATGTTAAGACTAAGATAAATTGAGACTTTTGCCTCCTATTTGCTCAAATAAGTGATTATCATACTTTTGTTAAATAATTTTGATATATTTGCAAAAATATATGTAATATTACATATAATATCCTATGTCATTAAATTAGATCAAATAAAATCACATATCAACATTGCGGCCTTAATAAAATTAGATCAAATAATATATGTAATCTTCAATATTTTCAATGACTATTTTGATAGTTATCTCATGTATTTATACCTAATATTTTGATATTTAAGTCCAAAAATATATTACTAATTGATCAAATCATAACTAGTATGATGAAATATATGCTATATGTTATATATGATATATAGGTCATATAACATATATTATATCTATAATTATATGGAATTATTAAACTTTTTATTCAATATTGAACGCATAAATATATTCAGTTTATCCCTTTGATACTTTGGCTTTGTTTGGGACTGCTTTTTTTTTGCTTTTTAAAACGGAGTTTTAATAAAAAATAAAAAAAATTGTAGTAAAACTCCGTTTTAGAAAGCAATAAAAAAGGCATCCCAAACGGAGCCTTAATTGATAACTCGTAATAATTTCTTAACAGATAAATTTATATAAATCATAGGTCGGCAATTATATAAATCATAGATCGTTGCCGACGATCTATGATTCCTCAACTATTAATTACTGATGTTGTATTCAAATTAAGTTATACCATAACTCAACCAGAATATTCTGCTGAAAATAAAAAAAAATGTGAAAATGTGATATATCATGGAGACTTGACAACACTAAGCATTTAAAAAACAAAAAAAATGTGTTCAAATATCAAAATTGTAAGAACAATTATTACGTCCTCTGACCGGACGTAGAGCTACATTCGGCCGCCAATAACATGTCGTCACGTGCTCTTACTCTTTACCGCGCGGCCCGACGACTTGACCCGGAGCGGAACCCGGGAATGCTATGTTCGTGATTTTCTCGGTATTGTTCGGTATTTGCTAGGTATTGCTTTGCAAAAATGAGAAATACCGCTCTGTGAAGACCAATACCATGCAAATACCGAGTTGTACCGAGTTTTTTTACAACTCGGTACAACTCAGTATTTGCTCAGGATTTGCTCAGTATTGCTAGGGATTTGCTAGGGATTTGCTCGGTATTGCTAGAAAAAACTCGGTACAACTCGGTATTGCTAGTTATTTGCTTGTTATTGGTTATTGCCGAGAAAAATCGACCAATACCTAGCAATACCGAGCAATCTTGGGTCCGTTTTGGGTCGGGTTGTCGGGAGCGCGCGGTAAATAATGAAAACGCATGGCGCGATTCTACTGGCGGCCGAACGTAGAGTTGCGTACGTTCACCGGACCAAATAAAAGTTCCTAATTGTAATTAGAATGAATGTGCAGTTGAATCTAATCCACACAAGAAGCAAAATGTCCATAATAATTCGACTAGAACGAACTTCCCAAGAAACCGCCTACTCCTTCCAAAAATCGAAATAGCAGCCGCCTTATATTAATTGGAAACAATTACTATATATTAATATTAAATAACTTATTATTATTATACGTCGAGGCCTGCCTAGGTCTCGTGCCTACTTTTGCCCGCATCGCTTGCCCACTTTTTCTGCTTGCATCTGCTTGGGTCGTCTGCGAACTTTTGTTTGGTCCGGTCATCTGACGTAGCTCTACGTTCGGACGTCAGTAAAATAGTGCCACGTGTTCTCACTATTTACCTCGCAGCCCGACAACCCCGACCCAGAACGGAGCCGGGATTGCTATGTTCGCGTATTGCTAGGTATTGCTCGGTATTTGCTCGATATTAGTCGATTTTGCTCGACAGTAACGAGAAATACCGAGCAATACCGAGTAATACCGATCAATACTGAGAAATACCGAGTTTTTTCTCGGTATTGCTCGGTATTTCTCGATATTGCTCGGTATTGGTCTTCACAGAGCGATATTTTTCATTATTGCCAAGCAATACCGAGCAATGCCTAGAGCAATACCAAGCAATATGCGAACATAGCAATCCCGGGTCAAGTCGCCGGGCCGCGCGGTAAAGAATAAGAGCACGTGGCGATATGTTATTGGCGTCCGATCGTAGAGCTACGTCAGGTCACATGACCTAATAATTGTTCGTCTGCCTGCGTCTGCCCGGTTTGCCTGCTGTGTCGCTCGGTACCATGTCGCTGCCACGTCACTCGCTGCCACGCGCCTATGGAGCCACGAAATTTTGCTGATAAGCGCAAAATGGGTCAGGTCGGGTTGACCCAATATGGAAGCGGGTCCAGTTCGAGTTTGAAAAACTGATCCGTTTTAAAAAATGAGTAGGGTCCAAAAATACCAGATCAATTACAGGCTTAACACGAATCCAACTCTTGACCTGAATTTGACAGCCCTACTTTTCTTATATGCTCTCTTTTGCAATGATTTTTGTGTTTTGGCTGTGGTTTCCTTTTGGGACATTTTTTTTCGTGCTTTTACAACAATTTTATGGTTAAAAATTAGTGGTAAAAAGCTTTCCCAAGCAAAAGCCTTAATAAAATGATCATAAGGGTTTGCAATTTTATCTTCAGATACATTGTAATTATCTTAAAAAAAATTATTGCATCGTTAATTAAAGTTAGTTTGCAAGTCTTTATTTTTTGGTATAACCTTTTGCATAAAAATTAAACAATTATATATTGATTGAAATTTTATATCAATTTGTGAAAGAAATGTTGTGCAAAATACAATGAAAACAACAAATCCAAAAAAACCATACAACCAACATAAAGAACAAGAAGACTTATGTGGTTCGACGAAGATGTCTATATCCACGAAAATGGAATGATATTTTCACTATATTGAAAAAAATATGAATTACAATAAACTCTCTAGCTCTCTCTTTTATACGAAGGCCCTCAAAGCCTCAATTTATAGATTTGAGACAAAACAAAACAAGAAAAAACTTTCTAATCTAATTTCCAATCAAATCACCTATTAAAAAAATAATCAACTGCCTAATCAATTATAATAATTAGCCACTAAAAATTTTCAAAATAAATCTTTATAAAATTTGAAAATATTTCCAAATCAACAGAATTATTAACAAAAATTTCTTTTCTTTTGTGGAATTATTAACAAAACTAAGAAAAAAACTCTTGACTCAAATTATGAAAGAAATAAGTAACTTGTTATATAACAGCTCAATTTTATAAATTTATAGAATTAACAGTTTCCTAATATTTATTCTTAAAATTATTTTATAAATGCTGAAATAGATATTACAATAATTATTAACTTTTATATTCAAATTTTCATTAATCCTCAACAATAAAATCAACAGCTAAGTATAATTCTTTGTCTTATAATTTCGAAATATAATTTTCTTATTCATCTTTAATTTTACTTGCAGATTTAAAAATAGAATTGAAAATGAGTAAGATAATAAAAATATAGCAATTTAAATGATAATTATGATAATAATTAAGGAAAACATATTTTCAAAATTATGACTACAATTGTAAATTAAATAAGCTTAAAATTTAAACAAATATGACAACAATAATAGCAAGTCTATATCCCACTACGTGGGGTCGCATATATGAAACATTTTTCTATACATTGCATTATATGTTAGGAATCAAATTCTCATTTAAATCAAATAAAGAAAGATCATTTCAAATATTTTATAACCAAGTCTTTTCAGATTTATCTCTACCCGTTTTAACAAAAGCCAAATCTAATATATCTATTTTTCTGATTGGGTGATTAGATGATCATCGTTTTAGTGACCAAATCATCCAAGGCTAACTCTCTCTAATCTTATTTTTTCACTGGAAATACTCTAACTTTTTCATGTATATGTTCATTTCATATTCTGCCTCTAAGAGTAAAGTCAATCATTTACTTGAGCATCATCATCTCCACAACATTTAACTTAACATTATGCTTATCTTTTAATGACAAACATTCTGCACCAAGAAGCATTATAAGTCTCACCATCAATTGGTAAAATTTTCTCTTAAATTTGAGGGGAGACTTTCCCATTACACAACCCTGATGCATTCCTTCGCTTTAATGTGTACTCTTATTAATGACTTGATCAAAATTTAAACAAATATGAAATAAGAAAAAAATATAAGTCTTTTATTAAAAAAAAAAGAATTTACTCTTATATTTGTCGGGCCATCAAATAAACATGACAATTTCTGACCGAATTAGCCTGAACATAAATATTTTTGGAGGCTCATTTAAGCAGCTCTAAAGGATTATAAATTTATTTTACAGCCTATTCAAAGGTGGATTAATTATTTTGTGCAGACATCGGACTCCGTTCCGAAGCAAATCATAGCACATTACATCAATTATTTATTTTGTATCGAGTTTATATACCCACTGTATACTGAATAATGTAACGAGCAGTGGCGGTGCCAGAAAATTTATCAAAGGGGGGCCTAAATTATTTATTTTAAAATTTTTCTCAACTTTTTTCATCCGAATTTGATACTGACATAGGCAGTTTTTTTAAAAAATCAATTATTATCTAAAAAGTTATAATATTAAATATAAGATAATTAGGATTAAACTCAATTATCCTTATTGATACGTCATCACAAAATTAGCTTAATCGGGCACGAATCTCGAGGCAAAAGCTAGTTGGAGACTTCAAAAATTAAATCCAAGAGCATCCGAACTCCGATTTCAACGAGCTTATAGTCAAACTGAGCGTCTCGGAAATACGAACCCAACGACACCAAGATCGATCCAATCCGAACCCAAATGAGTCCGAATTAAGGGTTCAAAGCGATGTCGGAAGGTTCAAACCGCAATTTGAGTTGCCAAACGGTCTTCGATTTTGATGAGCTTATACTTGAATCGAACGGCTCGACGAGACGAATCCAAAGAGCCCAAGATCACTAAATTCCGATATCATTAAGGCCTCCAAATGTCCAACGAACGGTGCACGATCGTAGGATTCAATATCGGCCGTCAATTTGACCACTCCCTATTCGCCCTTGATCTCACACATATTTACGGACCATGCCACTCCAGAAAATCTATAAATAGAGCCCTCATTCTTCACAAGAAAGCATCTAAGCAAGAGGGAGAAGAAGAGAAGAGAAGGAGGGAGAGAAGGAAGGAGTTCCTCCTCGACAGCCGCCGGACCACCGCAGAACCTCGCCGGACCACCGCCGGACCACCGCAGGAATCTCGTCGGACCACCGCCGGACCACCGCAGGAACCTCGTCGGACCACCACAGGACCTCGCCGGACCACCACCTTAAGGCCCGACGTTCAGTCCCTACTTCTTGCCAAAGACCCAACGTCTTGTTCAAGGCCCGACATTCAGCCCCTACTTCCTGCCAAAGACCCGACGTCCTGTTCAAGACCCTACACTTAGTCCCTACGTTCTGCTGAAGACTCGACGTCCTACTCAGGGCCCGACATTCAGTCCCTACGTCCTGCCGAGGACTCGACGTCTTACTTAAGTAATTAATTGTAATCTGTTCCCCCCTGGAGGTGATCCAGTCCTTTGTAACAAATTCAACATCTAGTGGAATCATTTTCAACTGGGCTAGGCCTCGTGGTTTTTTCCCTTTTAAGGGTTTTCCACATAAAAAATCTTGTGTTCTCTGTGTGTGCTAGTTATACGTACAACACTAAGACGTATAATCAAATCTCTATCGCCGCGTAATTTCTAGCCCGCAACACTTATCAAACTCAAATGCTTTTTTTTATTTCTTCTTCATCTTTATTGTTATTCTCATTCATAGTATTTGATGCTTTTGAGTTCATTGATCGCTTGAAATATCTTTTCATAGATGTTCAAACTCATACTCAAACATCCCCTAAGTGCATATATCTATTATTTAGATATAAATCTGAAGAATTCGAACAAGGCAACTAGAAAAAATTTATATTTTAATGAATACAAACGAAATAGAACTAACATAGGCAAACAATATGAAACAAAAATAGATTCGTAAATGACATCAGATTGTATAACCATCATGCAGAATTGATTTTACCTAAAATTCACTTCAAGAATGAAAGTTGCATATCAGTTTTCAAACATTAAATAGATTCGTTAGCAGAATCCAACCTTTCCTGGTTATTATAACCTAATCACTTCAAGATGCTGCCTTTGAGACATTAGATAAAAGGGTAATCAATTATAATAGGGCTAAAAATAAGAATAAAAAAAAACATGAAATAATCAATGATTAGAGAAAAAAGAGAATAAAAGGAGCATGAAGGCCTTCACGCTTGAAATACTTGAAAGGTGCATACAAATTCCCTGCCAATACATGAAAAAATTCTTACTACAACAAAGACAGCAAGTGCTCACCCTTTTGAACCATATCAGCTTTTTTTAGGGGGGGCACCTCCCTCCGCCTATGGTAACGAGCTCTAATTAGCTTCTAAATAAAGAATTACGTCCCATGTCGGCGCAGAATAATTTCTACCAAAGGTGAGTAGAGATTAAACTATCTACTCAAATATGCTATTCATGAAAATCGAAGTAGCATAAGGGTATCGTAGTTGAGTGGATGTGGTTTTTTTTTTTATGACGAGAAAGTAATCCGCTTAGCGGATTGTAAATCCCGGTCAACACTTAAATCGATAACCACTAGAATATGTCTTCCAACGGCGCCAATGAAGAGAGGAGAGATGCCAATGAGGGAAATAGCGAAGGGAGGGAAGAATGTGATCGTGACCGCCTCATAGAATGCTTACTTCTTCATGGTAATCTCATCACTTCTACTCATCAATAATCTGGAATAAATAAGCTTGAGCAAACAGTGGCATTTGTTACTTCGCAACTTTTAGAAAAGGATTGTGATCTTTTTCATTTCTTTTCTCAACAAGGGCAAGGATATTAAAGGTTTTCAAAAAAGGGATTTTGGCCTTTTCGGTATCCTATCTAACAACAAAAGCATTAATCCCCTCTTTAGAGCCCATGCTCCAAAGATTTCACAAGCATAGTCGCATCTGTTAAGTAATACTAGCTTAGGTTTGGCGTTCGATTCTTTGGGGAAGTTCTAATTGAAAGGCGGGAGATGTTAGTGTAGCAGAGTTATTGTACCTCGTGCAAGATTCTTTTTTTTTTTTTTTTTTTGAGAAATAAAGACCTTGATTTGTTATCTGTTCGTTTGTTAATCTAATGCATTGGGTATTTCAGAAGCATTCTTAATTTGTATATAAGCTATCAAAAAATATATTTTAGAGCATCTCCCAAAGTAATTATCCTTGTATATTATTCTTAGAAAAGCATAGGAGAGTATTGATTTAGTTCATATCACATGAAAAATAAATTGAGGTACAAATATTGGGTTGAAAATGAACTTGACTATTGGTGTATCTTTTCACTCTCTAGGAATTCTTCTTGAGTTTCTTCAAAACTTACAGTACTTCAAACAAAAAATAATCTCCAAAATTATAATGCTTGTGTATTTCGGTGGATTATTTGTGAATGAAATGTATAGCTTTTTTTGCTAGAACAAATAAATTCGTCACTATATGCCCTGGTGTAGGTTATTGAATACATGACTCTGAAAGAGGACGACATAGGTCTAGAGAAACAAGGTCTCCCTCTGACTGCTTCCAATCAATTGCAAAGTGTTGGCATAGTGCATCCTAGTTGTTAGAAGCATGTGTTAGGACAAACTCACTTGTTTGTATAAAGATTTTCATCAAATAGAAATAATTTGAACTACAAAGTAATAACAAAGAGATTAAGGCTTCGTTAGGGACGACTTTTTTATTGTTTCTTGAAACAGCTTTTTATAATAAAAATTAAAATTTTTGTACTAGAAAGCTACTTCAAAAAGCAGTAAAAAAGCCGTCCCAAACGAAGCCTAAGTTGAATAGAATATACTAAAATTTATGTGGTTGAGTAATATGATTGGCTGTTCAGGGGAGAGGAGAGAGGGTCTAAACCACCATCAAGAAGCTACATATAATTAAAATCGAATAGAGCACAAAAATGTTCTTCCCAAAGCTAAGTACACATAGTCTTGCTAAAAGATATCATAAATATCCCAAGCCAAATGAGTAGGAAAGTTTTTTAATCTTGTAGAAAGATGAGAGCATCATGGAGAGCTAATAGTTATAGAGATCTATGTCATGTCAAAATAAAAACCAAATGCACTTAAAAGAAGGAACATCACAAGTCCTCTCTCATTTATTATTTGTTATTTGATAGTAGCTGACTATGGCCAACTACAATTCCTCTTTTCTTATTCTATTTATTTAAAACAACATATAACTTCAAGTTTGACTTCAAGTTAGTTTCGAATATACTTTTTTTAATTTATTTTTATGAAGAATAAAGGATAATTTGTATTTATCCTAAAATTTTGCATTATAATTTTCTTTGCTGATTGATTTTTGCTGATGATATTCTTCTTGTTGATAAGACTGGAGAGGGAGTTGAAGGTAAACTTGAATTATGGAGGTCAATCTTAGAGTCAAAAGGTTTTCAATTGAGTAGATCTAAATCAAATACATGGAGTGTAATTTTAGTAGTAATAGATCTAGTGGGGGCATTGTGATTTTGGGCAATCAAGTCATTAATAAGAGTACTCGTTTTAGATATCTTTGATATATTGTTCAGAGTGATGGTGAAATAGATGAGGATATTATTAGTAGAATTCATGTTGGACTTAGATTTGGAAAGTGACCTAACTTGGCACAACCATCTTGGACATCCAACATCCATCAATGAATTCTAGGAACATATTACCATTTAATGTATCTACTACATACAGTATTAAAACATCTATCATTATTTTTTCTAATGCATGGGTACCGTCTCCAATCCTTTCTCATCAATGATCTTTTCTATATATGTTTTGTATATCTTCTAAAATTAAAATCTGAAATTATAAATAAATTCATACAATTTTAACATATAGTTGAATGACAACACAATACTCCCATAAAAATAGTGTGCTCTAATGGTAGTGAAAAATACCCTAATGATACCCTTCAAAATGTGCTTGCTTAAAGGGATATCATTTACCATTGATGTTGTCCATAGACCCTAGAACAAAATGGATTCACTGAACAAAAAATATCATCACCTCATAGAAATCATTTGTACTCTTATGCTCAACACATACACTACCATGAATTATGAGTAGACATACTCCTCATTGTTGTCTATAAAGAAAGAATGATTCTGGCCGATACTTTCTGTTGCTTTAGTTCTAAAAGTTACTTTGATTGTGGTAGGTAACCTTAACTCTAATTATGTTTTCGATGATTTTGCATTTTTTCAAATTTTTTTCTTCAAAAGCTAATTAAAATGCAATATTTTATATTCTAGTGAACTTTCATTATGTAACTTTTGACATGTGGTAGATATCATCATCTTGAACAATTGGACTAGTTCATATTAAAATTTTACTAATTAATTTTGCATATATATTATTTTATTAAAAATGAGCGGAATAATACTAAGCACAAAATTATTAGGAGCAAGCATACTACATTTGGATTTGAAATAAATGATATATATTAATTTTCTATTCTTCTAATCTAAAATGTATTTTGATACATAATATATGCATGTTGACGAGTATACTGAATATATCTACATGCTTTGATAATTGCATATGATGTATACATGATGTCTGTTATTATGATTACATGATATAAAATGTGTGTTAAAATAAAAACGGCTGGCCAGAAATAATTGACTGATTCAAGTTGACTTGAACATATTATCCAATACAGGAGGGTGGGTTGATGAGTTTTCTCTTAAATAAAATTTATGGTGTAATTCTAAGTGATGTGAAAAGAGAGGTATAATGAAATTAAATGATATGATATAGTATGTCGACGGTCAGGAAGTGATAACTTTTTACATAAAAGCTATCTAACTTGTGACCTGTGATATAAGACTGATTCCTAATAATATAGCTGATATGATTAAGACCAATTCATGTTTGATCTAAAGGGCCTATTGGACTTGATATAAGAAAAATATCATAAGTAGTCAAATATTATGCCTTACTTATACATATGACATGAGCATAAATAATAAATTCCATATATGATATGATATAATATGAAAGGAACATGATACAAGATATGAATGATACATATCATGATATGAATGATACATATGTATGATAAGACTGATAAAACTAATACAATGGCACATAATACACATGAAATACATGATATACATAATACATTGTACTTGATATAAAGTATGATGTACATGCATTAACTCGGTACATCGTGCATCGAACATAGGCATAATATTTGCTTGATTTGATAAGTATGCTTACATACATGAGTGATATATACATAGAAATAAAATATAAATGCTGAACATTTATATATTTTGTATGAGTGTGGGAATGATATAATATACTGATCCTATATATTAATAATCATTGATTCTAAGCTACATTGTTTGTATTGATTTTTATTGCTCATATGAAATGAAATTGTTCATATATATTGATTGTTATCTATTCTCACTATTGAATGTTTATATTGATCTAAATTTAATGACTACATGCATGTTGTTTCTATTGATTTGCATTACTTGTAGTTACAAGTTGTAAGTTCTGATAACCTACTCAGCTGTTAGGTCACTCTGTGTTTTTTACATATTTTTGATAAGATGTCAAGATTAAGGGAAGTGAGGTTGAACTAGATTTTCAGGTTGGATCATCAATCTTTGAGTAGGTTATAATGAGCCATCATACTCATCTATGTGATCACAACACCACCATGCCTACCAACCCATCCCAGCTATTTGAGAACTTGCAAAACATTAACAGCATAGTAGAACTAAGAAACCTGAGAAGAATATAACGCAAAAGAATTCTTCCTATTCCGTATACTCTACCACTATTACATTTTCTATTTATATATAACAAAATAAGAAGAATAAATAATTGCAGTGACAGAGGTAGTCAAGGACCAACGTATTAGAATAGGGATTAGTATAAACTAAACTTGTACCTGAAGCATTTCTTATTTGCTCTTTCACCTATATAAACACTGTACCAATACATAATTCGAATATACAGTTTTCCCTCTATTTTCTCTTAGCTGCTCTGTCTTCTTCCTCCGGCCATCTCTCTCTTTCCCTTTCACAACGGTCCCTTGAGACTTGAGAGCTCTATAAAGGATTAATGGAAGATTGCTTTAATAACAAAAAGTAATATTTATGGCTGCTCCACTAGTGCTGCTCCATTACTTGTATCACTTTATCACTATTCACTCATAACTGCACAAACCAACCTAACCTCTCATAATGCTAATTGGCTCTGCCAACAGTGGCAGAAACAGTTGTTCTACTTGTGTAAATACACCACCATTATAGCCCATGATATTAATGAAAATAGAAAACAATTTTCTATCTTTCTTCTCTGTTTTTCTGTTCATTTCTTAGTTACTTCAGCCTCAATGTCTTAAGTTTACACTTTTATTGCCCAAACTACTCGATGTCTGTAGGAGGCCAACTTCCATTGTATACTTTCAGCAGGAGTCAAGAGGGTCCGAATCTGCTATCAAAAGAGCCTCACGAATCCTTCCTCAACAAACTTCTTCAACGGGCATGTAGTTTTTTTTTTGGCTTTTGTATGGTTATGATTTTCAAATATATCCTGTTGAGATAGATTATAACCATTTATTACAGTGGGAAGAAAAAAATGATAGAGGACTATTCCATCATGACATTGCTGCCTGTGAAAGCAAGGTCTGAGGAACATATCGATCCTTCTTTCATTGGTTAATAATCTCTGGCATGCGTATTATACTACATTGACTTTGTCACAGATACTACCTGGAGAATATGGATTTATAGTGCGGCTAATTGAAGGCCGTGACATAAAGAAGAGACCAACAGAGTATCGAATGAACAAGGTTCTCCAGCCCTTTGATGAGAAAAAGTTCAATTTCACCAAAATTGCCCAGGCTGAAGTTATTTGTAGGTTCGAAGAGAGTGATAAGAACATAACAAACTATGTTGATGCTGCTCCGATCCTTGCTCATGACTCTGTAAATATCATTGCAATCAATGTATGTAGAACTTTAACTGCACTTGTATTTCATATTTTTCCATGGTTTAGCTAGGGAATCAATCTCTTTGTTCTTACAGGTGAGTCCTATTGGATATGGTCATATTCTTTTGATACCTCGTATATTTGAACGTTTACCACAGAGAATGGACAGAGATAGCCTCTTGCTCTCTCTTCACCTGGCAAGGGAGGCTGCAAGTCCTAACTTCAAAATCGGTTATAATAGTCTTGGTGCTTTTGCCACCATCAACCACCTTCATTTCCAGGTTTCTCTTCTAAACATCTGGGATAGAATTTATAAGCATTGTCTTTAACTTGGCTGACTTATCCATTATGACAGGCTTTTCATTTGCCAATGCTGTTATCAGCTGAGAAGGCTTCCACCGAATGTATTGCAACTTTAAGGGGTGGTGTGAAGATCCTTCGACTCTTAAACTATCCTGTAAAAGGCTTTGTTTATGAAGGAGGAACCAATTTGCAGGATTTAGCTTATACTGTTTGCAATACTTGCACGTTTTTAGAAGTGAACAATCAGCCTTACAATATGCTCATATCAGATTCAGGAAAGCGCATATTCGTCTTTTTGCAGGTAACATAAATTGTTCAACATATAATGTTTTGGTTTTTCAGTATTTTTGTTTCAGGCGACTGTATTAAAAGCAAATAAAATAAAATTGAAGCAGTGTTATGCTGAGAGACAAGCACTTGGAAAAGTAAGCCAAGAGATTCTTGACACCCAAGTAAACCCAGCTGCATGGGAGATTAGCGGCTATTTAGTGATGAAGAGGAGAAAAGACTACGAGGAAGCTTCTGAGCAGAATATATGCGGGTTCTTTGCAGAGGTTTCTTTGTCTGATAAATTTGAGGAACTACAGGAATCAGTTGTGCAAGCCCTTAAAAGATGAATGGATGTGTCACTGAAAAGAACTGGGAAACGGAGTTTTGTGGATATGTCTAATGTATCTTTGATGTTTTGCTCGTCTTTTACTATTCAAAATTCTGAACTTTTTGCATTAGCAAAATATCCTTATTATTCTAAAAAATTATAGAGCTTATCACTCATCATAAGCAGACCAATACACTCATCATAAGCAGACCAATCAAGTGAGAAAACTTCATTTCACAGCACTGTTGAGGATGAGTAAACACCACAACAACGAAACAAGCAAGTAAAAGTAGCGGAAAGTAAAAGGACATCAGGATTTAACATGAAAAAATTCAAAATAGGGAAGAAAACCACTGAGCCACGCCACACCAAGAAATCCACTATGAAATAAGAGAGAAATAAGTACAGATCTTTCTTCCCTCTCGCTCTTTTCTTGCTTCTCTTCTCACATCCACTGCTCTCAATATCTACACACTCTCAAAATACAAGGTCAAGTAAATAATCCCAAGCGACCCAACCCTTAAGAAAAATGAGAAAGAAAACTGTCCAGTCAATCTCAAAGTGCTATGGCGCCTGTTTGGAGTGCTGCGGTGCTTGAACCTCTGTCTTGATCCATGACAGTGCCAGTGTCATATATATACCATTGCGGTGCTTTGCTCTTGTCGTTCAGCGCTGAGGCGCTCAAGAACACAACGTCTGAGTACATAGTGTCGGGGCGCTATGGTAAACAACGTCGGGGAGTTTGATTAAAAAAAATTTTGGGTACAATGCACCCAAACCCAAGTGGGGGCAAACCCCTTGCACATTCAATGAGCACGAGAAACTTGAGGTTAGAGGCAACAAAACAACCCGACTGATCAACACAATCAGATTCCACACATAACAAGCATAGTTTTTTGTGAGATTGTCTCATGGTTAGTATGCGTACAACGCCAAAGTCAAATTCATACTCCTATAAAAAATGCTGCTACTTGATGATACAATAATAAAAAAATAAAAGAGAATAAATACTATTAAGAGAGAATAGATGTCAGTTTTTTTAAGTCATATACTTTTAATATAATATTTTTCTAATATTATTTTTTAAATAAGCATTATATGCTAGCACTCCCTCCCAAATCAATGCATAAATATTTGTTTGCTTTACTATATCACAGTAGCTAGAAATAGGTTATGTCCTATAGCTTTGTTAAAGATATCCATCATTTGTTTTGAATTCAAAGTATGAGTAGCAATCTTCCTACAAAGCCCATCGTATCATATGAAATGACAATTAATCTAAATGTTTGGTCATTTTATGAAAGATTATTGATATTGCATATGGCCGCACAATTGTTAAAAATAATAATAATAATAATAAACTTAGTTATGAGAACATTAATTTCTAAAAGGCATGATCAACATCATCTCATATATATAAATGAGCTATAACTTTAACATTGGATCTAAGGGTGTCAATTATTGGCCCGACACGATAACCTGACTCGAAGTCGATCTGAAAAGTCTAGTTTGGAGTCGATTCATTTAATAAACGAGTTGGGTTCTGTTTGAAAAATTGGATTGGGCCCAGATCAACCAGCTAACCTGAATTTGACCCAAGTTCTTACTGCATTCCTACACCCACACAAGCTCCAAAGCTCTGCTGCACTACCTACACATCCACACCGCACCTGCACAAGCAACTGTGCGACATCACCCGCAGCTCGCGCTTGCATCCCGGGTCCCCGCATCCACGCTCGCATTCTTAGATGGATTGAGGCTTGAATAAGTGAAATCCCCCTTAAAATTTTGCTTAGTTGTTAGATTAAGGGTTACTTTTATTCTTCTAATGGTATTGGGTAAGGATGTTCTTTATTCTCTTTTCTTTTTAACCTTTGCCATGGATCATCTCATGGCAATTTGGACGAAAAAAAAAAAAAATCTCACAAATTTAAGCCTATTTCCCATGGTTGGATAGTCTTAGTCCTTTAATCTACATTGATGGCTTACCTGTTTCTTATCCTCTTTTGAAATCTTTTGTGGTTGAAAATCTATCATAAGAAATTTGATATATTCATTACAAATTCTGTTAATAACCATAACAATTTAGTTGTGTTCTTATTGGTTTTAGCTCGGGCACTTGTCCCTCCAAGTATATGAGGATTCCAATCCCTACCTTTAGATGACCTCTTAAGGATTTTCATCATCTCCTCGATAAAATCATATGTTGGCTGGAAGGTTAGAAGCATAAGCTACTATCTTTTAGTGGTATATTGAAACCCTTAAATTCTATTATAGGCAATTATCTCCTATGTATATTGATCTATATTTGTCTTTCTTCTCAAAGCTACTTGAAAAAAAAAAATCTCCAATCATATATTCATCTTTGTTTTTAGAATGAGTCTCATAATAAACTTTAAATTATTTCTTAGTACAAATGTGGTACAACTAAGTGCAAAGAAAGGCTCATTTTCCCTTCTATTGTCAATGTATTTGCTAAAATAAAGTTATTTTAGGTCTTATGAATGTTTTCTTTACCACTTCACAATATTCTTCTTATACTGATCTAGTTTATACCATTGGAAAGATCACAATAATAGGTTGCACAACTCTCCTAATTCATCCCTAGAAATGCTTCCCTCAATAGTTATCTTTCCTAAATTGTGTAATTAGATAGATGTGGATATATAACTGATGATATCAGCATACAGCAAAAACTAATGTAATATCATTGTTGCTTCTTCTCCAACTTTTGCTTCTCTTCCATTCATTTATGTTGTTGGCGTATGGTTTTGCTTTTTGGTTAGCCCCTGCCCCTATGTTATTCTTATATTTCATATGTGATGTTCTCCACTTATTGGCTTTTGATGGTTATGGCTTATCTCTTGGTTCATTCTCAAAGTATGGAGCGTGATAAACTTTGTTTTTATTTATGTGTCCATATGCTCCTTTTTTAAAGATAAAGATGATTTATGATATGTTTGGGATAGCTTTTTAGTTTTTTTTTTCTTCCTTATGACCGTCATTATTTTTTACTATTTTCAAGAATTTTTGTGGTGGAAAGTTGTTTTTTTTTTCAACCATAGCAATGAAGTTATTTTCTCCGCAACAAAATTTTAACCAACTTTATAAACCGTTGCAACCGTCCCAAACAAACTATAGAAGTCTCTGTTTGAACTAAGTGCAGACCTGCGCTCACGTCTAAACTCTACATTGGAGCACTCAGACTCGTGCTCACATCTTGATTTCGCTGGCTATATGTCGGGTTCACCGTTCACGTTGGGTCGGATCAACTTGGTAACCAGTGCAAGTTGGGTCTGGGTCTAGATTTTTGACTCATTTATAAAACTAGGTCGGGTTTAGGTTAATCCATTTGAATCGAGGTCAATGTTGGGTTCAATCTGAACCCGACACGAAAATCTATTTTGACACCCCTGTTTAAACAATGCTGCTTGTTTAACCCAGCTGGGCGAAGTTGATTTTGCTCATTTTTGTAGCTTTCTTGTTCTGAGCCTATCTCAATGCGGCCTCTCTTATTTTGTCATTGCTTGGTCTTTTGGGCTCTGTATGGCACGTCTTTCTCTCTTTTGGAGATCTTTTCTAGTGGCTGTTTAAAGCCGGTGCGTGTTACTTTTGATCTCTTTTATTTTATCAGTATGTAATTGATTTCTTTTTCTTTAACATATTGAGCTGCGTCTTTTAATCTTTTGAAAAAGGTTTGTAATTAAAAAGCAAATAGTGGGGCATGGCCAGGGGTGTAAGTGAGCCAAACTGGCTCGCTCCACTTATTTATTTGCTCGGGAGCCTAGTTCATCAAGCTTATGAGTCGAGCTCGAGTCCGAGCTTGAGCTGGCTCGAATAATAATCATATTTTTTTTAATATTAAACATTTCATATTTTTTTTTCTAAATTTTGTCTAAGTTTTAAAAATCTCGTTTAAGTTTTAAAATTCCTTCTCATGGCTTGCAAGCCGGCTCTAACTCTTTTATAGTGAGATGAGTTCGAGCTCGCTTTCCAACTGGCGAGCCGTGCTTGATAAGGATCTAAACTCGATTGGACTCATTTACACCCCTAGACATGATCGAGTGGTTCCAGCTTTTACTCATCAAATTCATTAATCTATTAATTTTTATCAATTTGATTTAATTTCCACTAGAATTTCCTGCACATCCTGAATTTCAAATAAAATATAATTTTAGTTCCGAACTAATCAGCAGCCCGCCATAACTATTACTAGTCGCAGGTGTAAGTCTATTTCTGCTGTCACATTGGAAGATGATGAGACGTCACAAATCTGCGAGTATTAAGTAGAAAAATATTGCTGATAGTCAACAATAATTTTCCTCGACAATTACCGTAACAGTTTTTATTTAGATTGCCTGATTGTGGATTGGATCAAGTAGATATTATATTTGTTTTTTAGATTATCCCACTCTCATTTTTTAGATTTAGGTTTAATTAGGGACAGCGCTTTTATTGTTTCAGATTGTGATCAAAATTTTTATTTGATAATCATTTTTTATTATTTAAAAAAATTATGTATTATAAAGCTGTTTTTTATCATAATTTTTCAAAAAATTAATTTCTCTATTATAGCTTTCTAAAAAGAATAAAAAACATTGTTTTTGGAACGGATATCCACCTGCTGCCACTCTCGAAAGGGCGCTGGTGGCGTGACTAATCCTTGGCTAATCTAAAAGAGACACCTACAACAGAAACCTCCTGGTCAGTATTTGGTTGGGCTCAACTTAAGGAACAATTATTAGGTCCTCCGACCGGACGTAGAGCTACGTCCGGTCGGAGCTAAAATCACATCAAAAAATGAGAAATACCGAGTAATACCAAACAATAACGAGGAATACCATCATGTGAAGACCCGATACCGACTTATACCGAGCTATACCGAGTTATACAAAAAAATATCGAGTTTTTCCTAGAAAAAACTCGGTATTTTTTGTATAACTCGGTATTGCTTGGTATAACTCGTTATTGGTGTTCACAGAGCGGTATTCCTCGTTATTACCAAATAATACCTAGCAATACCGAGCAAATACCAAGTTTTTTGGCGGAATGTTAGTGTCGACCGCACGTAGCTCTACGTCCGGTCGGAGGACCTAATAATTGTTCCAACTTAAGAGGTGCTGCTGCTCA